TACATCAGCTTACAATTCGAATCTATTTAAAAAATCGATCTTTTTCGGAAAGAACTGACATCCCTACTGACAATAATAATAAAAATGGCGTCAGTTTCACGGTAGGAATTGACTAAATATTGCAAAATTATTTGATTTACAATATTTTTTTCTCAATAAGTACGTGTTTCCGCATATTGAAACTGTGTGTGTGTGCTTATAAAAATGTAATCTTTTTGTAAAAATACGTATCAACACCAAACTCGACTGACGTCAATAGAAAGTCTTTCTAAAGTAATAGCTAGATGAGGCGCGACACCGATCTGCAATTTCCTGAATATCAATAGTTTTAAAATATTTTACAATATCTTTTGATGATACTTTATGAAATGTAAAATTCTTTGTACACGCATTAACACTTCGTTTAAGTAATGATTCGACGACGGCAGGAGAAGAATTCAGTGTCGAAATAGTATTATCAAAATCTTACAAAAATGAAATCACTCTCCCCGCTATCTTAGCACTTTCATAAGTACTTTGAACTACATAAATAGTTCATGTTATTGAAATACGTGAATAGTTGACGTTTTATAAACTGCAATATTCTCAACTACACTAGTTACCAGAGACATTAAATTTTTCAACTCAGCACACTTCACTCCGTTTACTTTACGCTAGCGCTATTTTGGTGGGTTCTAGAAGTATAAATTGCTGCTTACAGATGGATACTTTTCGACTTCTCCCCCACATAAGATGGTTCTCCTCATGGCTGTACGCAACCTGTCAATGTAATTTCATCACTTCATTACACTTTTATGACACAGAATGTGTCTATGTGTGTGTGTGAAATTGTTAATGTATTGTTTTAATTTTTATAGTGAGTTTCGTAGTGACAGACGATTATCTTTGTGAGGGAGTCTGAAAAAGTGTGCGTGGCGCAGATTTCTTCCCCACTGACCTCTATGTGTACAAGTACGGTGGACTGGCTATACCTTATAAAATGATTGTGTCCGTGTGAAGCGCCGCCATTGTTCGTACTGGGAACTAAAATTGACGTAATATGCCAAAGTCTGTTCTGTTGTTTAAATCTTATCTCGTATCGTATGTGCTAAAGAAAATGGAGAAATACGGGAGCAAAGGCGGGACAGTTTCTGCCAAAGCTGTAATAAATAATTGTGGAGAATTACAATTGTTGTAATAAATGTTTAAATCTAAAAAATTAAAATATTTTGTGTAGTGCGATTGTTTGATTTTAGTTATATAGTAAGAATTATTTATAGTATTAATGAGGGTGTGCGTAAATTGTAACACTCGTTACCAAAAAGAATGTGAGATGATATTTTACAAGTGAGTGAATGTACAGCTAATATTTAAAAAATTAAACTATTTCATAATATAGGTACTTAAAATTTTGTTACTAATCTTAATGTCGTAATCACCAACATGTTTAGCTTTATATTAGGTACTGAGTTTTGACAAACACTAAATAGGATTCAATACGATTGTCGAGTTCCTTGTCTATAATACTTGTCGATGTTATTTTCTACCCATATCTGTTAACAACCAAAATCGCCGACAACAGATAATTATCAAATGTTACTGTTGTTATTGATTCACAAACTCTAGAGTTATAATACCCATTATTGACTACTCTACGTATGTGTTACAAAAACGGAAACGAAGTTATCTGAGAATAAGACCAAAGAATAAATTATTCGAGGGCTAGTTACTCTGGTGTAACATGGTATTTGGTCGAATCCACCCTTAATACCATATTTTTATTGCACGGTTAAATAACCGTGTGGTAATAATATTATGGTATTCTTTAATGTAATGTTCTCCTGTCACGGTTCTTTGAACGATGTCATGTGAAGAGCTCGTGTCTCTATAAATGTTCCCTTGGTTTTGGAGCTTTGTAGAATGTAGAGACGATGACAGAAGACCCGATGGTATGACTGTGGATAGTTGGAAGAGAGATAAGCTTTAGTGTGGGATACTACTTGCAAATACACTTTGGCAGCCTCTCATCTCAGGGGTACCTCGTTTAATGCAGGGGCGGCATCAGAGGAAAGTAAACTAAGTAAGTAGCCCAAATATGACTATCTGACAGTAAACACACCTTTTAGGCTACGTACCTTGCCCCTTGGAAGAGTGGCAACGTTGCACGTGGGTGGCATGGCGATTGGCGGCAGGCAGCGTTATTGTGGGCACGGCCTTTGATTCGTTTGACAATGTGCGACGAAATAAAAACTTAATCACTAAGCTGTTTAGGTATTTTTACCGCCAGTTTTTTATTTTGCAAAAATGGAACTGAACGAAATAAATATTATTGCATATTAGTTGCAAAATTTAATGGAACCCTAAATTTTCAAATTTTCAAAATGTCCGCCACGTTCTTGAATGCACAAATTACATCGCCGCATAATGTTGTCCTGATGCCTGCTCAACAAATTTCGTTCAGGATCCAGAGCCAGTGCTTTTAATTTGTCAAAGGCGGCAATAATACGATTGCGCAGTTCATCTTCGGTTTCGGAGATCTTTGAGTACACTTCATTTTTAATAAAGCCCCAGAAGAAGTCTAGAGGAGTGACGTTGGGCGACCAAACTGGCCACCTACGAGGGCAATAGCGCCCTATCCATTGTTTGCTGAACATGGCATTAAGCCGCTCTCTCGCAAGGAGTACGGAGTGTGGAGGAGCCCCATCTAACTAGAACCATACACGCTCGTAAGCTGCCGCAGACAATCCTTCTAAATATTCTGTTATTGGGCCGTTAAGAATATTGAGAAACTTCTATGCATTCAGGTTTCTGTCAATAAAAACAGGGCCGATTATTTGATCTCCGTGAATGCCTGCCCAAACATTAATGGAAAATCGGTAATGTTGAGCTGTTTCCCTAAATAAATGGGGATTCGTATGGCTCCAGTGACGCATGTTTTATCAGTTCCATATGCCTATTCGAGTAAACGTACTTTCATATGTCCACAACACATTTGATATTGAGACATTTCTTCCAGTACCTAGTGGCAGTAAGACTCTCTAATCGGCTTATCACGGGGCACCAGCGCCTAAACCTTAGCATATTTATAAGGACTTAGTTTGTTCCTTTTCAGCACTCAGTGTTTTGTTCTATGCCTCACTCTAAACACACGCCCAGCTTATCTAAGTCCCGTTTTGCGAACGAGGGTGGAAAGTAACGCGGAGCAACTCCTTCATGAGTGTTGGGCACTATGTACTGATTTTCCCTGATTCTTTGCACAGTACCTAGGATTGTCCGGACGCTAGTAGGGCAGACGCGAGTTGCGCCGTTTCTCTCACGATAAGTACGCAGAATTAACGCTGAATTTTGGCGGCATTATATAGCCGTGTAGTGGTGGTTAAGAACATCCACTACCCCATAACTTCCCGTGGGTGTCGTAAAAGGCGACAAAGGGAAACAGGCAGGAGATGGGCAGCAGCATCTTCCTAATAACAACAAGCTTACAAAAAAAAACTGCGGTTGCCAACCCGCTCGCAAAGCGTGGCAACTATGGCAATATACCCCCCATGATGAAAGTTACGAAGAGACGGCCCCCAGTCCCCGGCGGCTCCGCTATTCCTGGCTACGGTGGCGACCATGGTAATGGCGGGGCAGGGTGTGCTAAGAATCTCCGGTGGAGGTTCGGTTGCCACCTACGACGACTCGACCTGGCAACATACAACGAACGCACCCTAAGGACTGACGAGAAGATTGTGGAGCTGGAAGAAGAGATAGACAAGTTACGCTGGCATATTATAGGATTATCCGAAGTCCGAAGAGAGGTGGAGGACACGGTAATCCTCGAATCCGGCAACTTACTCTACCATCGGGAGGGCAACCATCTGTCCCAAGGAGGTGTCGGTTTATCGTCCACAAGTCTCTCGTTAACAACGTTGTAAAGATTGATAGTGTGTCGACGAGGGTTGCGTACCTTATACTCAGAATCACCAAACGGTATTCGCTGAAGGTCATACAGGATTGCGCACCAACCTCGGCACACCCCGATGAGGAGGTGGAGGAAATGTATGAGGATATCTCTAGAGCCATGCATTCCTCCAAAACCCAATATACGGTGATATACGGAGACTTCAATGCAAAACTAGGCAAAAGAGAGAACGGTGAGCTGAAAGTGGGGAAATTTGGAATAGGGCAACAGAATCCAAGGGGCCAGCAGCTGGCCGACTTCATGGAGAAAGAGGGACGCTTTATGATGAACTCTTTCTTCCAGAAGCGGCCCTGGAAGGAAGTAAACCTGGTCGAGCCCCGACGGTTCCACGAAAAATGAGATTGACTTCATTATGACGACCAGACGACAACTGTACAGTGATGTATCCGTGATCGCGTGGGTGAAAACTGGTAGCGATCACCGAATGGTTAGAGACACACTGAACCTTAACGTGAAGTTGGGGAGGTCTCGTCTAATGAAGTCAACGCTCCGTCCCCCTCGTGCTCTGTTCCAAAGTTCCGAAACCTTTCAGCTCGAGTTACAAAACCGTTTTCAATGCCTAGAAGACTGCAATGAAGTGGACGATATGAATGACAAGCTCGTGGAAACTGTCCATGCGGTCGGAGCTAAGTTCTGCAAGACCCGCCGCAGAAGAACACAAAAACACTCCGATCACACTCTCAATCTCGTGGCTGTTAGACGGGAGATGAAGCTACATTCTTCAACAGATTTGACAGCATACAAGCAACTGAATAGACAGATCTCCAAATGCATGCGGCGGGACTTACGCAACTTCAATACAGCTTGTATTGATGAAGCGATCGAGGGGAACCAAGGCTCCAAAGTCTTTGCCAGAGATCTGTCTGCCAGAAAGAACCAACTGTCAAAGCTGAAGACCGAGTGTGGCAGCATCGTTTCCGGGGCACCTGAGATTTTGAGTGACATTAAGAGATTCTATGGGCTGTAAATTTCATCGTTGAAGCCACACGCAAGTGTGAGTAACGATCCAAGAGCGAGTCTTATCCGACACTATTCCGAAGATATCCCGGACGTCAGTCTGAGCGAGGTTAGAATGGCTCTTCAGCACCTTAAAAACGGCAAGGCCCCAGGCGAGGATGGAATTACAGCGGAGCTTCTGAAAGTGGATAGAAGACCGGTACTTGAAGTCCTTCAAAAGCTCTTTATTTCCGTCCTCCATGGTGGCATTACACCGGAGGCGTGGAGCAGAAGTGCGGTGGTCTTGTTCTCCAAGAAAGGTGACAACGCTCTCTTGAAGAACTACAGACCGATTTCCCTTCTGAGCCACTTCTACGTGCTGTTTTCGAGAGTCCTTAGGAATCGTCTCGCGCGCAGACTTGACGACTTCCAGCCTCCCGAACAAGCCGGTTTCCAAAAAGGCTTTAGCACCATAGACCACATACATACCCTCCGGCAAATTGTACAGAAGTCCGAGGAGTACAATTTGCCACTATGTCTGGCGTATGTGGACTATGAGAAAGCCTTTGATTCCGTCGAAATTTGGGCGGTGCTGCAGTCCCTTCAGCGATGCCAAGTTGACTGTCGGTACTTATATCGAAGTTTTGAAGTGCTTGTACAGTAGGGCTACGATGGCTATCCGAGTACAGAACTAGAGTACGAAACCTATCCAATTGCAGAGAGGTGTAAGACAGGGTGACGTCATATCCCTGAAACTCTTTACCGCTGCATTGGAAGATGTTTTCAAGCTTCTGAACTGGAAAGGATACGGTATCAACATCAATGGCGAGTACATCACTCACCTTCGATTTGCCGACGATATAGTCCTTATAGCAGAATCGCCTTAACCACCATGCTCAATGACCTCAATAGTGTCTCCCAACGAAGAGGTCTTAGGATGAACATGGACAAAACAAATATCATGTTTAATGTCCATGTCACATCTATGCCGGTAGTTCTTGGGAGCATTAAGCTCAAAGTTGTTGGCGAGTATGTTTACCTGGGACAAATAGTCCGACTAGGTAAGTCCAACTTCGTCCGAGAGGTCAATCGACGGATTCAACTCGGCTGGGCAGCGTTCGGGAAATTACGACACATCTTCTCGTCAGACATACCTCAAAACCTTAAAACGAAATTGTACAACTACTGCGTGTTGCCAGTGATGACTTACGGATCTGATACGTGGTCCTTCACTGCTGGCCGTATGAGGATGCTCAAGGTCGCTCAGCGAGCTATGGAGAGGGCTATGCTCGGGATTTCTCTGCGTGATAAACTTAGAAATTAGTATATGCGCAGTAGAACCAGAGTAACCGACATAGCCCAACGGATTAGTAAGCTAAAGTGGCAGTGGGCCGGCCATATAGCTCGAAGAACCGACAACCGATGGGGAAGAAAGTTTCTTGAGTGGCAGCCTCGTACCGGTAGGCGAAGTGTAGGGCGACCACCCACGAGATGGAGTGAGTATATCCGCAGTAGAACCAGAGAGTAACCGACATAGCCCAACGGATTAGCAAGCTGAAGTGGCAGTGGGCCGGCCATATAGCTCGAAGAACCGACAACCGATGGGGAAGAAAGGTTCTTGAGTGGCAGCCTCGTACCGGTAGGCGAAGTGTAGGGCGACCACCCACGAGATGAGGTGACGACCTGGTAAGACATGCAGAAAGTCGATGGATGCAGGTGACTCAGGACCGTGCTTTGTGGCATTCATTGGGGGAGGCCTATGTTCAGCAGTAGACTTATGAAAGGCTGTAATGATGATGATGATGATGATGATTTGGCGGCATTCGCTATACAATAAAACAATATCTGTATACTCTGCTACACTGTAAAAATGCTGTTGTCTTGTCATATTCCACCGCCAACACGTACACACAAAAGTCAAGTAATGTCAATATCGCAATGAAAAAATAATAAAAATAAACGTACTTAAAAACACAATTTACACACACAAAGCTAATTACCTAATAAGTGTCCATTACACCGTAAAAAAAAAATCGTATTTATCTTACGAAAAATAAATCAGATGAAGTTCAGTATGCTTGCTGCACTTAAAAGTACTACCAAAGACACTCACCCTAATCCGAAAGATAGCCAACATATCATAACGCTATGCATTAAGACGCCGCCCACAAACGGTAGCGGTATGCGATGTCCACGGGCAAGTCATATTGCTACAACAAACCCGCTTACCACCGGCACTAAGATGATATGTCTAGGACACATCGGTTAGTGAGTCCAAGTTTACCTCGGTCTCAGAGGCTGCGAAGCAACCTACACGCTACTATAATAATCCTTTTCAAGTCCCATTTCTTTCAATATAATGCTTTTACATATTTGAGACCTTCCACATATTTGATTTATTTCATAGACCATACTATTGCTATCATAATTGATAGCAGAGTTATGACTTGAAGTCCCATATGAATAAGACATACAATAGTATGGTCTATGAAATAAATCAAATAATTTTTTTAATTTTTTTAAGGTCTCTATGATGCATAAGCATTAGCTTATGCATCATAGAGACCTTCTATATTAATGCTTTGGTTCGTTAGACCTTACTATGATAAGTCCCTAATATAGGACTAGTCATTGTGCAACCTTAGTACTAGCAGTCGGTCAGCCGACCACCCCATATATATGTACAACCTTGGGTATGTGTCTCCGACAACGCCCCAATATAAGGGAACATTACAAGAACACGTTCATCAACTTAGAAATTTCCCAATTATTACAAGAACACCTTCATCAACTTAGTAAATTTTGATCCAGTTTTTCTACTATATTACAAATGTTATTTATCCTTGTTATTGCAATATAATCGACTTTTTGAATTTTGAATTACATTGTGAAAATTTTAAGCAGGTTTTTAATAAATTTAGAGATTTTTAGAGACATTTTATGCGTTTACTAATATTATAATATTCAATATTCCAAATGGATATTTTTGAACTTTATGCTTATTATTTGCATTTAATTGTTTAAAATATAATTTCTATGACATTTTAAATGTCTGTATAATGAATTTAATTATTATTTATTAATAATAATTATGAGGCGTCACAAGATAAAAAAAATCTACGTTGTAACCCCAAAGACACGCTGGTTAAGAGTCGTTAACATTTCACCATTAAAATCAGATTTTGATTACAAGTTTTAATCAAATCACAAGTAGATATATAATTTTTTTACAGTTCTTATAACAAGCGCATTAAATGCTCAAAATGGCCCCCTAATTGCTGGAGACGCAATGCCACGCTAATATCAATTTGGTTTGTAGGTCTACGCACCATTCCTGGGTTACTTTCTATCTCAGTCGCATATTGAAGAATTCGATCTCGTAATTCAGCCTCGGTGTTTGCCGTGGTTCTGTAGACTTTTGTTTCTTGATACCCCACAAAAAGAAGTCGAGAGGTGTCAGATCAGGTGAACGCACAGACCAGCCCACCGGTCCTTCCCGGCCAATCCATCTGTTACGGCGTGCAGCTGCCTATCTAATGGTAGGATCCTCCTAGGCCCATAGTAAGAAGAACCTACAGGCAGATGCAGGTCGGGCCTTTAAGGCCAAAGTGGAAGTTCTCTAATTAAAATAAACAAAGGGGGAAAGATCGGTAAGAGAAAGGCACTTACCTGCCTCAGGAGCGGAGACGGTTCACCAGGACCGGCCCGGCTGATGGAAGTTTCGTGAATGTATGTGTGCTTGTATGAATCTGTGTGTACGTGGCCTGGTCTAGATGACACAATGCTGTCCTGGAGAAGGTATCCGCTGGTAGCCTCGGAACTATTCCCCTCTTGAGGCACTCTTTCTGTTTTGTCACGTAATGGTACAGCCAAACGTAGAACTTCAGAGGAAAATCACTATCGGAGTTGCACAATTAATTTAACAGAAGTTAATAAGCCCTAAAGAACAATACGTGTTCTCGCAACGATTTACGCGGGTTGATACTTTCGTAACGAAATTAGGCGCGAAACTCAGACGTCAGTATAGATCGCAAAAAACTTTACAATGCACGTCGAGAAATCTGGCCGATACCGCTGTGGAATGCGGCCGGGTGGGGGGCGGGTGACCTTGCTGTCGATGCTACGAACGCACGTTAAAGAATTACGTTTCAAAGGTATAATACTTTTGCCTAAACACCATGTGTTTGCATAGTTTTCGTTTAAAAAACTTCGCACATTCGTCCGTAATGAGCAGGACATCCATTGATCTGCAAAAACATACAGCCCCGTTGACTTGTGGCCAGTGAAACTTCTTCGAGCAGAAATGAAGAATAATAAAGTTAAGAAACGTTCGGAGTTTAATATAGTAGGTAAAGTAAATGGACCAATTAAAACGTCATCGTTTAGAGCTGCACCAAGGAGAAATGTAAATTAATTAAAATGTAGATGCCCTCTTTAAATGTGGATTTTCATAATGCCATTCATCAAAATTCCTGCAATTTGTGATTCCATTTCGAGTGAATTTTGCTTCATCTGCGTGACTGGCTAACTCACTACCCCACAGTATATCCAATCGTAAGTCGTATTTCGAATCCCTCCTTCCTACCCTTGCTACAACACATAAAAAGACACGTCCCGTCAAACCAATGTTGTAATATTGTTAAAAAAGGGTGTCTACCTAAGTGGTGACGTCAATTTTAAAAACTCTTAGCCAGCGTATTTTTGGAGTTACAGCGTAGATTTTTTTTATTTGAATGGTAATATGGTAGAGAATAATAATAAATCATTAGTATTGGGGGCATGATTCTGAGAAAGTTAGAGATCATTGAAAAAAAACAGTCATAAATAATTAAAAATTAAAAATATTGTACAGCCGACTTCAATATATATATTATTAAGAATAACTCAAAAACTATTAGTGAAGTATGTGAAGTATAAAAGTGTGAGAGCGGATGTTCAACTTGCTCTCTTGCTTACGCAATTGATCATTATAAGAAATAAGACAGCGTACAGCATTATACATTCAGTATAGAGCAAATACAGTTCGACCAATCGTAACATGTACCAGTCACAATCACACATTGGTGTACCGTAAAGGACATAATTACATGATAACACCAAAGTATGCAAAGCAACTGCTACACTACTTCTCTCGATGTAACACCGGGCAACCTCTCAGCAACACGATCTTCCCTGCTTACACTAGAAGAACTACTACACGAATAGAACCACATCACTTGTCTTATTTGGGCAGAATCACAGCGTAGAAGTAATGTTTTAGCCCAACGGGCATAATAACGATATGAGACTCGTAGAATTACAGACTGACTAATCCCCCTTAGTCGACTGTGTGATACTTTATACTGCTAAAACAAGTGGGAGATTACAGTTCTACCTTCAACATTTCTTATTTTATTTTATTATTTTACCCTCATTCCTAACAATATTTTTTTATTTTTTTGGACATTTTTGTCGATAATTTATGGTCTAGTTTCACCCCCTTTCGGGGTTGCACTTTACGAGAGACACACAGTATAATAGAAGATATAGTTTATTCTGTCTATAGACAGAGCTGTATATAATTAGAAATAGACGTTACTTTAGCAGATGATTTGTTACGAGAAAAGAATGAACGGTTGTCAATAAATTCTTTGCAAAATTATGTTTTTTTTTTTAATTATGTATAGTTACTCCCGTTGTATATTTTCCAGTTGTAATTGAATGTTTAAGCCTCGCGAATGGACTAACATACCCAATGTTGAACATCGGAACAAAATTCGTTCTGTAGTTACTGTAGTTTAGCGGTGGTAGAGCCACGCGGCAGCTTTTATTGTTGCACGTATGGGCCGGCTCGAGCCGGGTTGGTACGACGACCTCACAGAATACCGGCGTGAAGTAGAAGCTCTGCTTCTGCGTTTCGTCTGGTGAGTGCAAGCGGCCGGAGGCCCAATTCCCCGCCCCCCCCCCCCCCCCCCCATCAACATGGTAGCGAAATGATACGAAAGACTACCCCAGGAGTGTACCAGCACCCCTGGAGAATCCCTCGCTGAACATCCACGACCATGTTATTCCACTCCTGAGCGTGGGTGCTCAGGCTGCCCCGCGTATTCTGGTTAATTATTCCGCTCAAAAACATCCTGCCACGCTATCCGTGAATTTCTGCAACATCAGGGGACTTCACTCGAACTTAAACGCCGTCCACTACCATCTCGAGACGGCAAAGCCGGCCTTGCTCTTTCTGACCGAGACGCAGGTGTCCTCTCTGGCTGATACCTCGTATCTCTCCTACCCGGGGTACAAATTGGAGCACTCCTTTGTGCCTCGGGCTGGAGTTTGCGTGTATGTCCTGTCCATCCTTTGGCTATGCGTAGACAGCGACGACCATCCGCGCGTCTACGGGTGCCTCTATAGGTCCCATAGCGGTAATGCCGAAATAGACCGACTCATTGACCACGTCCAAATGGCTACAGATTCCTTGCTACAACAGGTCCAATCCGTATATCCATACAGAGATCGTGATCCTTGGCGATTTTAACGCCCACCACGCCGAATGGCTTGGTTCACGTTTAACCGATCATGCGGGGAGATCTGTTTATGACTTTGCCTTGGCATATGGTCTGACACAACTGGTTACTTCACCTACGCGGATTCCAGATGTGAAGCATCATACACCTTCCCTGTTGGACCTTCTGCTGACCTCTCATCCGGACGGATATCAGGTTTCCGTCGATGCCCCTCTCGGCTCTTCGGACCATTGTCTGATCCGGAGTGTGGTGCCACTCACGCTCCCATCGCAGTTGCGTTCTGCAGGTTGCCGCCGTGTTCCGTGGCCGTGGTCTTTCTTTGCATCCTACCCATGGGGGCGGGTTTGATTCTCGCTGGATGACCCCAGCGCTGTTCCTGACTCTGTCACTGATGTGGTGCTACAGGGAATGGAGCTATTTATTCCATCATCTGTGGTACCCATCGGAGGCAGATCTCAGCCTTGGTTTGGTCGCTCCTGTAAGACTGCATTACGCAGTAAGCAGGAGTGTTATCAAGCCTGGGCTGCGGCTTCGGCAACTCGGGATGTAAACACCAGCACACTTAAAAAGAAGTATAACTTCGCCTCCAGGTCCTTCGAAAGAGTTATTGCCAGGGCCAAGTCAGAGCACATAGGCAGGATTAGCGAGAAACTAGTTCGCCTTCCTTCGGGAACCCGTGCATTCTGGTCTCTCGCCAAGGCTGTCCAAGGGAATTTCGGTATGCCATCACTACCATCTCTGCACAGGGAGGACGACTCACTGGCCCATGCCGCAAAAGACAAAGCCGACCTTTTAGGCCCCCTTTTTGCGTCCACATCGATTCTTGATGACGGGGGGAAAACACCGCCGACCATCCCACGGTGTGAGTGCTCCATGCCGGATGTGCTGTTCTCACAGCGCTCGGTTCGCAAAGTACTCCTCTCCCTGGACATCCAGTCGAGTGGGCCTGACGGAATCCCCCCAATTGTGCTGAGGACGTGTGTTCCGGAGTTGGCACCAGTCCTAACGCGTCTTTTCCAGTACTCCTACTCCCGAGGCGTACGTACTACGTCCCGAATTCATGGAAGACAGCTTTTGTCCACCCGATCCCTAAAAAAGGCGACCGCTCAGACCCGTCCAACTATAGGCCTATCGCCATTACCTCCTTGTTCTCCAAAATAATGGAATCCATTATTAACTGCCAGCTCATACGGTACTTTGAGGATCACCAGCTGATTAGTGACCGCCAATACGGTTTTCGTCGGGGTCGGTCAGCTGGTGATCTTCTGCTCTACCTGACCCATAGATGGGCGGAGGCAGTAGAGTCCAAGGGGGAGGCGTTGGCCGTTAGTTTGGACATTGCGAAGGCCTTCGATCGGGTTTGGCACAAAGCGCTTCTTTCGAAGCTCCCTTCCTATGGGCTTCCCGAGAAATTGTGCAATTGGATCACCAGCTTCCTTGCAGATCGGAGCATCAAGGTCGTTGTAGAAGCTGCATGCTCTGACTACAAGCCTATTAACGCTGGTGTTCCACAAGGCTGTATACTATCACCAACGCTGTGTCTTCTGCATATCTGCTGTGTACCGGAACAAACTTGTGTCTGAAGTCGAGTCTTTGCTGAACAAAGTCTCGGATTGGGGGTGACTAAATGTAGTCCAGTTTAATCCTCAGAAGACACAAGTTTGCGTGTTTACCGCTAAAAAGAACCCCTTTGTCGTATCTCCTCAGTTTCAAGGCACTCCCCTTCTGCCTCAGCCAGTATCGGAATCCTCGAAGTTGACATATCGAGTGACGTGCAGTTTCGTGGTCACTTGGAAGAGAAGGCCAAATTGGCCTCTAAAAAGCTTGACGTGCTCAGCAGAGCGGGACAGTATTTCATGCCGGCACACCGCCTGCAACTTTACAAGGCGCAGGTTCGGTCTCACATGGAATACTGTTCCCATCTCTGGGAAGGGGCTCCCCAGTGCCAGCTCCTTCCACTTGACCGCATCCAGCGCAGAGAGGCTCGAATCGTCCACGACAGAGTCCTTTCCGATCGGCTTGATTCTTTGGCACTGCGAAGGGATGTTGCATCCCTTTGCATTTTCTTTCGCATCTACCACGGGGAGTGCTCTGAGGAATTGTTCGGATTAATCCCAGCCGCTAAATTTCACGAACGCACATCGTGGCAGAACTCCCGATACCATCCACACCATCTGGATGATTGGCGGTCCACCACTGTGCGATTTAGAAGATGTTTTCTTCCTCGCACGACTTCCTTGTGGAATCGATTACCATCAGCGATTTTTCCGGACCGATACGACTTCAGGACCTTCAAGAAAAGAGCCTACTCCTTTTTAAAAGGCCCGCAAAGCATCTGCAATTCCCTCCCTGGTGTTGCAGTTGTTCATGGGCGGCGGTAGTCACTTACCATCAGGTGAGCCGCATGCTCGTTTGCCCTCTCTCCTATAAAAAAAAACTTTGATAGACCAACACAGCGTTGATCTTGGTTTTATATGAGGTATAGAGTTTAAATGTAAGTGTATAAAGTTTGCGTCTAAGACCTAGGTATTAATCGATACAGGGCATTTTATTAATATGATTAATAAATAGAATAGACGTTATGGGTATAGAATTTTTATCGATATATTTTGTCACACTGTCTTATCTCTATTATCAGTTCCGTGGACGTTCACTTTTGCTGTCAGCGCCAAAATAGCGGAAATCAAAAGCGTCATTATGTCACGTGTATAGCCAGTCCCTTACACTTTTTTAGGTTAAATGATCTAAGAGGCAGGCCATATAGAGGTCAGTTTTTTCCCCGCAAGAAATGACAGACAATTTGGTATTGGAAAATAACGCTATGGCTACTCCCCTCCAGTGTTGTTTTATGCCTTGCATAAAAAAAAAACTAGTGATTATATACTCTTTGGCTCTAGTTTGCAACATATTATGACATATTAATACCAACGTAAAATAGCAGCTTTACGCTGATGTATTTCTAATGGTGAGTGTAGAGAACCGGAGACCCTTTTTTACTGGAAATGAGGCATTCCATCTTAGTCCTCACGGGTGACAACGCATTTGCATTTTGATTTTTAATAGAGCATAGATGTAAATGTCCATGGGCCGAAGTAACCACTTACCATCAGGTGGACTGTGTGCTCGTTTGTCACACTTATAAAAAAATATATCTCATATATATTAATCTGTAACTTACCTTACTCTGTGGCTTTTACGAGTAAGGGGAGTTTTGGGTGTTTTGGCAGGAACTTGACTAGCGGCGGATTGCCGCTCCTGTATTATAATTTAAATAATGTTTTGAAGTGGAATTTGATATGTAAAAGTGGTGCGATTTTGTGTATCAAGTGTCAGCGCATGTAAACTATTAGCATGTAAACTATTAGCATGTAAACTATTAGTGGAAACGGTGAAACAATTGCTCTGATGGTGATGTGATCCTCAAGATAAGGTGTCTGTCTGCTTAGGTGCCTTGAGATACCATCGCCAACTGTCAGCTGAATGCTAGCTCAAGTTGCCGTCAAAATCTCACAAGGTCTGCACAATGTGACGCATCAACATATTATTGTGAAGCAGTGTACTAAGAAGGATAATTATACATTGTAACTTCAGGCTCAGAAAGGCAACAACCTAGAGCCGTGAAGCCAGTTATATAAAAAAAGGAAATTTTGGCGGAAACTCGAACGGTGGAGGATTGCTGCTCTTGTATTATTGTTTAAATAATGCTATAAAGTGGATTTTGATGTGTAAACGTGGTGCGATTTTGTGCATTAAGTGTCTGCGCATGTGAACTATTAGTGAAATCGGTGAAACAAGTGCTCTGATGGTGATGTGATCCTCAAGATAAAGTGTCTGTCTCCTTAGGCGCCTTGATATACCATCGCTAAGTGTCAGCTGTCTGCTGGCTCAAGTTACAGTCAAAATCTTCCAAGGGCTACACAATCTGACGCATCAACATATTGTGAAGCAGTGTACTATGAAAAATAATAATTATCCTTTATAGCACACTGCTTCTGAGCCTGAAGTTACAATGAATAATTATTATACATTGTAACTTCAGGCTCAGAAGGGCTAGAACCCTTAGCCGTAAAGCCAGTTATAAGAAAAAACTCACGATTGTGATTCTAGGACAGTTACTATACTCTTTAGTACAACATCTACTAGTTAGTCTGTTTGGGCTCAGAAAGGCTAGAACCCAGAGCCGTAGCGCCAGTTTAAAAAAAATAGTTAGTCTGTGGTACGACTTGTTTATATTTTTATTTACCTACCAATTTAGTTTACCAAATTGTGACCAATTTATATTATTTATTTAGTCATATTCATATTTCATAAGTTATTCTGTCTATATATTGAATATGGGCCAGGGCAAAAGTCAATTTTCGGAAGAAGAACTTCAAGATTACGAAGTAAGTGTAAATCCGTAATGTAAGTAATTGGAACATTAATTAAATTGTGCGTTTGTATGACTAATGGTTCGCTTATTGTTGTAGGACCTTACATATTTCACTAAGAAGGAAGTTTTGTAGTAAGTATAAAGTATTTTTTTCACACCATACTGAGTAAATTTTTAATTATAGAAATAAAAATTCAATAACGCAGTTTTGCATTGTTATTTGAAACACATAAGGAAAGGTTTTATTTAGTCAATATAATATCATATCAACATTTTCTATTACAGTAGTAAAATAATCTACCTACCTGCTCTACCTACCTATCAATTTATAAATATTTACATACTTAAATCTCCACACATCACTACATGAGGTGGGAAGCAGCATCTTCCTGATAACACCTCATATTATTGCGCGGTTGCCTGTCCAGCTGGCAAGTAAAGTACTTAAAAAGAAGTATAACTTTGCCTCCAGGTCCTTCAAAAGAGTTATTGCCAAGGCAAAGTCAGAGCACAATGACAGAATTGGCGAGAAACTAGTTTGCCTTCCTTCGGGAACCCGTGCATTCTGGTCTCTCGCCAAGGCTGTCCAAGGGAATTTCTGTAAGCCATCACTACCATCTCTGCACAGGGAGGACGACTCACTGGCCCAAGACGCAAAAGACAAAGCCGACCTTTTAGGCTCCCTTTTTGCGTCCAACTCGACTCTTGATGACAGGGGGAAAACACCGCCGACCATCCCGCGGTGTGAGTGTTCCATGCCGGATGTGCTGTTCTCACAGCGCTCGGTTTGCAAAGCACTTCTCTCCCTGGACATCCAGAAGACGAGTGGGCCTGACAGAATCCCCCAATTGTGCTGAGGACGTGTGCTCCGGAGTTGGCACCGGTCCTAACGCGTCTTTTCCGGCACTCCTACTCCCAAGGCGTAGTCCCGAACTCATGGAAGACAGCTTTTGTCCACCCGATCCCTAAAAAAGGCGATCGCTCAGACCCGTCCAACTATAGGCCTATCGCTATCACCTCCTTGTTTTCCAAAATAATGGAATCCATTATTAACTGCCAGCTCATCCGGTCCCTTGAGGATCACCAGCTGATTAGTGACCGCCAATACGGTTTTCGTCGGGGTCGATCAGGTAGACCAGAAGATCACCAGATCTTCTGGTCTACCTGACCCATAGATGAGCGGAGGCAGTAGAGTCCAAGGGGGAGGCATTGGCCGTTAGTCTGGACATTGCGAAGGCCTTCAATCAGGTTTGGCACAAAGCGCTTCTTTCGATGCTCCCTTCCTATGGGCTTCCCGAGAAATTGTGCAATTGGATCACCAGATTCCTTGCAGATCGGAGCATCAAGGTTGTTGTAGATGGTGCATGTTCTGACTACAAGCCTATTAACGCTGGTGTTCCACAAGGCTGTGTGCTATCACCAACGCTGTTTCTTCTGCATATCAATGATATGTTGCCAACTGGTAACATTCATTGCTATGCGGATGACAGCACTGGTGATGCTCTATACACCGGCCGTGCCAATATTTCTCAGGAAAACGTCGCCGAGTATCGGAACAAACTTGTGTCTGAAGTCGAGTCTTTGCTGAACAAAGTCTCGGATTGGAGGCGACTAAATCTAGTCCTGTTTAATCCTCAGAAGACACAAGTTTGCGCGTTGACCGCTAAAAAGAACCCCTTTGTCGTATCTTCTCAGTTTCAAGGCACTCCCCTTCTTGCCTCAGCCAGTATCGGTATCCTCGGAGTCGACATATCGAGTGACGTGCAGTTTCGTGCAATTCCCTCCCTGGTGTTGCAGTTGTTCATGGGCGGCGGTAGTCACTTACCATCAGGTGAGCCACATGCTCGTTTGCCCCCTCTCCTATAAAAAAAAAGTGTGGCAACTATGGAATACATACCCAGTATGAAGCAATCTATGAGAAAGACATATATTCCTTTGGGCCTTGTTATGAGTGATGGGTTGTAATCAATGAATCTTTCACTTTCCTTGAAAGTTAAAATTTTTAATACTAATAATAGTTTTTAGTCGCTCAAATAATATAATTTGACAGATTTATATGATAAACCAAATAAATTTATGTTATAGCGCTCATCAGAAATTTAAAGCTCTAGCACCAGAAAAAGTTGGGCATAATAAAAATGCTAAACTGCCAATGGCAAAGATTCTGCAGTATCCAGAACTAAGGGTTAATCCATTTAGAGACCGTATATGCAAAGTGTTTAGCTCCAGTAATGATGGTGATTGTACATTTGAAGACTTTCTGGACATGATGTCTGTGTTTAGTGACACAGCTCCTAAGGCAGTAAAAGCTGAACATGCTTTCAGGATATTTGGTAAGTAAAATGTTAATTGTGTTTATCATTATTAATACGTAACTCGGCAGCAAATGCCTAATGCGTTTTAGTGTTATTCCATTATTGTCAATCCGTAAAATTAAAATCACTACTGGACATAGGCCTTTTCCATTGTAGGAAGAATTATCTTAATCATCATGCTTGGCAGGCGGATTGGTGATTACCCTAACTGTGTGTAAATGTTCCACCATTTACGCTACTGTCTCTAGTCTGAGTATTTTGGGTCTAGCATAAAGAAGATAGTTAAAATGTTATCTGTTAGAAGCTATAAAAAATATCTGACATTTCCTACAATCGCCTCTACAATACCCAGGGTACAAAATGAGGTGATGCAAGGATTCTCTTATGCCGCCACCAAATGGCTTAGACATTTTTTAGTGATTCAATTTAAATTGTTTCTAGGCATATAAACATACTAATTATACTACTTGTCAAATTTTAGCATTTCAATGGAAATGCTATATAATGCTATATAAATTACTCAAATCACTATTGTTATATTGCTTATTAACAGCTCTGTTAATAAAGGAAGATGGTACAAAAGCTTAATGGATAATGGATAAAAGTCCACTACTGGACAAGGGTCTCTCCTATTGTAGGGTGTATTTGCTTTAAATGTCACTTATCTGGCGGATTGACATTTTCTGTGCCAGATATCTTGCTCCTGTCAGTGTCCATGGCTGAAATATTTTATGTCTGTCAGATATAAATTAGGTGTTCATACCATCCCTTGAACGCCTAAGAATAAGATTTTCTAGTACTGCCAATAGTTGCCTCTTACAAACACATGAAACAAAAGACACAACATGGCATAAGAAAACCCTATATAAACAAAAATATTTTTCCAGATTTTGATGGTGATGACATGATAGGTGTTTCCGATTTACGTGAAGTAATCAATCGGCTTTGTGGACCAGAGCACAAGTTAACCGACTCTGAAATACAACAACTTGTTCAAAATGTGTTAGAAGAGGCAGATCTGGATGATGATGGTGCACTCTCTTTTGCAGAATTTGAGCATATCATAGACAAGAGCTCAGACTTTTGTCAGTAAGTAACAAAAGGGAATATTTACTAGAAATAAGATTTACCAGACAACATATTTATATACATAATTTTCTTGCTAAGTAGTATATAGTATATAATAGTGTATAATAGTTCTTGCTAGTAAGTATTTAACATGAGTCATGCTGCACCTGCAGCTGTGTTATGGCTGCAGCATAAATATATTGGCTCGACTGGATAAAGGCCACACTCTCATAGAATACCAACATAAAAGAAGTATAATGTTTCTTGAACATTTAATCTTAGTCCATCGGGGGAAACAGTGTATCAGCATTTTGATTTTTTTATTGATGATAGATGTAGGTGGCAATTTATCACAGCATCCACTTACCAACAGGTGGTTACCAGGCCTTATTGGTTTGAACATAAGGGTGCTGTCAATCACGCAATTATTATATAAATTGTTAGCTTTGGGTTTCTATGCATTGTGACTACATTCTACCCTATCTGCAATCTTATTGCATAACTGTCAAATTAGGTAAGAATAAATTAGGATGCCGTGTAATGGCAGTTAGGAATATCCACTACCCCATATCTTCCCGTGGGAGTCGTAAAAGGCGACAAAGGGAAAAAGGCAGGAGATGGGCAGCAGCATCTTCCTGGTAACGGCAAAAATACAATAAAAAAACTGCGGTTGCCAACCCGCTCGCAAAGCGTGGCAACTATGGCAATATACCCCCCATGATGAAAGTTACGAAGAGACGGCCCCCAGTCCCCGGCGGCCCCGCTATTCCTGGCTACGGTGGCGACCATGGTAACGGCGGGGCAGGGGGTGCTAAGAATCTCCGGTGGAGGTTCGGTTGCCACCTACGACGACTCGACCTGGCAACATACAACGCACGCACCCTGAGCACTGACGAGAAGATTGTGGAGCTGGAAGAAGAGATAGACAAGTTACGCTGGCATATTATAGGATTATCCGAAGTCCGAAGAGAGGGGGAGGACACGGTAATCCTCGATTCCGGCAACTTGCTATATTACCGGGAGGGCGACCATCTGTCCCAAGGAGGTGTCAGATTTATCATCCACAAGTCTCTCGTTAACAACGTTGTAAAGATTGAGAGTGTGTCGACGAGGGTTGCGTACCTTATACTCAGAATCATCTAACGGTATTCGCTGAAGGTCATACAGGTTTACGCACCAACCTCGGCACACCCCAATCAGGAGGTGGAGGAAATGTATGAGGATATCTCTAGAGCCATGCATTCCTCCAAAACCCAATATACGGTGTTAATGGGAGACTTCAATGCAAAACTAGGCACAAGAGAGAACGTTGAGCTGAAAGTGGGGAAATTTGGAATAGGGCAACGGAACCCAAGGGGCCAGCAGCTGGCCGACTTCATGGAGAAAGAGGGACTCTTTATGATGAACTCTTTCTTCCAGAAGCGGCCCTGGAAGGAAGTGAACCTGGTCGAGCCCCGACGGTTCGACAAAAAATGAGATTGACTTCATTATCACGACCAGACGACAACTGTTCATTGATGTCTCAGTGATCGCGAGGGTGAAAATCGGCAGCGATCACCGAATGGTTAGAGGCACACTGAACCTAAACGTTAAGTTGGAGAGGTCTCGTCTAATGAAGTCAACGCTCCGTCCCCCTCGTGCTCTAATCCGAAGTCCCGAAACCTTTCAGCTCGAGTTACAAAACCGTTTTCAGTGCCTGACAAGCTCGTGGAAACTGTCCATGCGTTCGGAGCTAAGTTCTGCAAGACCCGCCGCAGAAGAACACAAAAACTCTCCGATCACACTCTTAATCTCTTGGCTGTTAGACGGGAGATGAAGCTACATTCTTCAACAGATTTGACAGCATACAGGCAACTGAACATACAGATCTCCAAATGGATGCGGCGGGACTTACGCCACTTCAATACAGCTCGTATTGAAGAAGCGATCGAGCGGAACCAAGGCTCCAAAGTCTTTGCCAGAGATCTGTCTGCCAGAAAGAGCCAACTGTCAAAGCTGAAGACCGAATGTGGCAGCATCGTTTCCGGGGCACCTGAGATTTTGAGTGAGATTGAGAGGTTCTATGGGCAGCTGTACACGTCATCGTTGGAGCCGCACGCAAGTGTGAGTAATGATCCAAGAGCGAGTCTTATCCGACATTATTCCGATGATATCCCGGACGTCAGTCTGAGCGAGATTAGAATGGCTCTCCAGCACCTTAAAAACGGCAAGGCCTCAGGCGAGGATGGAATTACAGCGGAGCTTCTGAAAGCGGGTGGAAAACCGGTACAACCGGTACCGGTGAAGTCCTTCAGAAGCTCTTTAATTCCGTCCTCCAAGGTGGCATTACACCGGAGGCGTGGAGCAGAAGTGCGGTGGTCTTGTTCTTCAAGAAAGGCGACAACGCTCTCTTGAAGAACTACAGACTGATTTCCCTCCTGAGCCGCGTCTACGTGCTGTTTTCGAGAGTCATTACGAATCGTCTCGCGCGCAGACTTGACGACTTCCAGCCTCCCGAACAAGCCGGTTTCCGAAAAGGCTTTAGCACCATAGACCACATACATACCCTCCGGCAAATTGTACAGAAGTCCGAGGAGTACAATTTGCCACTATGTCTGGCGTATGTGGACTATGAGAAAGCCTTTGATTCCGTCGAAATTTGGGCGATGCTGCAGTCCCTTCAGCGATGCCAAGTTGACTGTCGGTATATCGAAGTTTTGAAGTGCTTGTACAGTAGGGCTAAGATGGCTATCCGAGTACAGAACTAGAGTACGAAACCTATCCAATTGCAGAGAGGTGTAAGACAGGGTGACGTCATATCCCTGAAACTCTACCGCTGCATTGGAAGATGTTTTCAAGCTTCTGGACTGGAAAGGATACGGTATGAACATCAATGGCAAGTACATCACTCACCTTCGATTTGCCGACGATATAGTCCTTATGGCAGAATCGCTGGAGGACCTAAGCACTATGCTCAATGACCTCAATAGTGTTTCCCAACGGATAGGTCTTAAGATGAACATGGACAAAACAAAGATCATGTTTAATGTCCATGTCACACCTATGCCGGTAGTTGTTGGGAACACTAAGCTCGAAGTTGTTGACGAGTATGTTTACCTGGGACAAATAGTCCGACTAGGTAAGTCCAACTTCGAACGAGAGGTCAATCGACGGATTCAATTCGTTTGGGCAGCATTCGGGAAATTACGGCACATCTCGTCAGGTATACCTCAAAACTTGATAACGTATACCTCAAAACTTGATAACGTATACCTCAAAACTTGATAACGAGACTGTACACCCAGTGCGTGTTGCCAGTGATGACATACGGAACAGAGACGTGATCCTTCACTGCTGGCCGGATGAGGAAGCTCAAGGTCGCTCAGCGAGCTATGGAGAGGGCTATGCTCGGAGTTTCTCTGCGTGATAAACTCAGAAATGAGGATATCCGCAGTAGAACCAGAGTGACCGACATAGCCCAACGGATTAGTAAGTTGAAGTGGCAATGGGCCGGCCATATAGCTCGAAGAACCGTCAACCGATGGGGAAGAAAGGTTCTCGAGTGGCAGCCTCATACCGGCAGGCGAAGTGTAGGGTGTCCCCCCACTAGATGGAGTGACAAACTGGTAAGATATGCAGGAAGTCGATGGATGCAGGTGGCTCAGGACCGTGCTTTGTGGCATTCTTTGGGGGAGGCCTATGTTCAGCAGTGGACTTGTGAAGGGCTGTAATGATGATGATGAGATTAGGATGAGGATGAGTATTATCTGTTGTGCAGTATTATCGTCACCATGATTGAAATGGACCAATAGGACATTTATATAAAATACACACAGATAGTTTAAAGTAGCAAGTGTCTATAATATATACTGATTGCACATTTGCAATATAATCCAATGGATCCTTTTTGTAGTAAATTATTTATTGTTAAATAAAATTTATTAATAATATTTCATTTTTCAGCTCATTCCGCATTAGACTGTGAAAGAAAAATATATGTACTCCCAAGTAATAGCAAAATATCTTACATGTAACATTAACATAATCTAATAATTAAGCAATACAATTTTGATAAGAATTATTGTTATTAGCAGGTGGTTTATGTAAAAAAAAAACTTATTATATATGAGTCTATGTTTGAGTCACTGCCATTTTATAAATAATTCAAATATTCGTTCCTTTAATTTTTTAATTTTAAAATTTAATTCAATTATTCTTTTCAAAAATATTGCTTATTTTATCATAAGTATTTGCGGTTATATTGTGTGAAAATATGCTTATGAAACCAAAATTTGTTTTGATGCTTAACTTGTTTTATTGTTCAGTTACTGTTATTATAAAATATTTTAGAGGAATCTAGAATCTTTTTAGGATAAAAGTGTTCATTGCAGATGTGACTTTATTACAAAAGAAAACTCTAGTAAATAACTCAATCTTGATATTATTATATTAACAATACTCACTCATTTTAAATGTATCATTATAAATATTATTGAAGTCAGTGTCTCTCAAACGTTTGTTGTTGTGTTGTGTTATTGGCTGTTTTGTGACAAAATATTGCTTTATCGCCTAATATACATATTTTCTAATTAGACATGTGTCAATCTTAAAATATTTGGTTGTATGACCCTGGTTGCATTAAGGATTAATGATTGCAATATCTAATAATCATTAATGATTGCAAATATAATAATCTTTTGAATGATCCAGAACAAACAACTATTCAAACATGAACTATTTTAAAATGTGATATGTGATTGACTTTTTTTTCACAAATTGTGTATGTAATAGCATTACGTCAATAGACTTTTTACTATTAATAAAAAAAAGTAATTATAGCTTCATCCTGTACTATTATTATAAGGCTGAAAAATTTGTATATGAGTTTAAGATAATCATGAAAGTTTCCATAATAATCTTGTATGGATATATATATATTATACCTACAAGACTGTTTTATCCCTCATGGTACATGTATTTTAGATACAAAAGCATTTTCATTATTAAGTACATAGTGAATATTATTCAAAATATAAATCTTATCACAGTGTAAAAGTTCTCAATATTATGCAATGATTATACAAATAGTAAAATGAAGTATTTATTTGTGTTCAATCAAAAGCAAATGACCTGTGTTCACAAATGACAAAACCATGCGGAAGTCACAGATTACTGCAACCCAAAATAATCCATGTGAATGATCAACCCAAATGACTTAGTTCATATGGTGAGAAATGAATGATTGGCTAAAAATGAAGAATTGACACATGTCTTTTTCTACTTATTAATTTATATTCTTAGAAACTCATTGATGATTTTGAGCATTTATTGTTATTTACCTTATATAGTATTATGACACCTATTCTTTCTAATAATATATTTTAATCATATTAAAAATGACATTATGTTTATAATCTAAGTAAACAATAGTATTTAATTTCTTATTCTTAAAGACAAAATAATGTAATTGCGTTTGTACATATAGCACCTATTATTGATATGATTTTTTTTATAGATCTATTTTGCTTAGTTGTATTATATCTTACTTGAATTTGTAATTTGTTTACTTTTTAATAGGAAAAGTAATAATATTGAATTTAAATGATCTGGATTTACATTACTTACTAATATCTTTTGTAAAATATATGGTAGTGGTGTGTTAGCAAAGAATAGATAAAAGTACAAGTATAGGTAGGTACTAAGTAGTAACATACTTCACTACTTGTGTATTTGCATTGTAATATATATGCATTTAAGTTATTGTATTAAAAAAATAAATATACTAAGGACTTTTTTTTTCTACATACCTATTACACCATGGTAAATAAACATTAAGTGGTTATGAAAATAAATAAGAAAACATTTCATTAATTAGTATAAAAATATTTATTAAATCTAAAAAAGGGAATCCTTATAAACATATATTCCAGACTTTACATTATTATGATGTAACAGTAACTCAGTTCTGTAAATAACCTGGCAATTTCATCCTCATAAATATCCAAGTGGTGAAGAATGAAACAATAATACATAGAAAAGCTACAGAAATTAATAAAATTCGATTTAATTTTGGTGTAGAAGGATTGTGTGTTCTATCCAATATGATGAATCCAAGCCCACCAAGAGAAAAAAGAAAGCTAGAAGCTAATCCTTCCATAATATATTGGCCATTAACTCTGTTCGGCATAAATGCAACTGGCCGGCTATGACCATGTTCATCGGTCGTAGAGCCTACGCTAGGTGGTTCCACTATAACATCATAAATTATACCTATAACAAAAAAAATCATAATAGTTTTCTCTAATTAGATAAAACTAAGTCTTAAGAAAAAATATAAAATAAGATACCTAACCTCCTGTCACCAAAAAATACGACAAAAGCACCAATGAAAACGTTGTCATTGCAGACGGAGCTTGTAACCATGACGGTTTTTTAATTTTTATATTTGGTATTTCAAGCACTGTGAACGGTATTGCAATTATTGATTCCATTTTGTTATGAAAAACCGACGCTAACAATTGAAATTGAAATAAAAGTTAAAACGGCTGCGTTCGTTAGCGTGTTGACGTTGACATAGAAAAGATGCCGTTCCGTTTGACGTTGATGATTCGGTTTTGCGATCTAATACGAATATATTTCTATCATTGCATCAAGTGTATTTTTGTTATATTATTCTAAATTATGCCAAACCAAGTTTCGAATATTAATCTCAGGAATTCAATTTTTTAAAATTGACCTAACATAGTTAGGTAATGGGTAACAAAGTGTACGATAACTGTCTTTAGTATATTCTTACTGCATGTACAGGATCGTTCAAGTTCTTGCTAAAAATAACCAATCAAGATACATCATATGTGTTAAATGTTTTATTATGATTGGAGGAGGTTTCCTAATCAATTATTTTTCTGCGTATTCTCCAATGGCGCTTTAACTTGATGTTGAAAATTTATAAAGGAATAAAAAAATCTGGGGAATTTGGCAACTGTCAAATTTATACATTTCAATCGAAACGTACGTTGTCTGCTTTCTTCTCAATTATTTTAAATAAATAATTGAATGGCAGCGTTTTTATCAATGTAAAAATGTGGGATACTGATCTTTTGTGTTTGTGACCCTTTGGCTTAAATTATTGCGTTATTTATTTTTTGTGAAGCAATGTGAATATGTGTTAATTTTGCACACAAAATGTACTGGACTGTGGAATTTGTACTAATTTTACGATGAAGGGTGGCTTGTGTGTTATTTACACGTCGTTACTGACAATTTCTGTTTTATCGAGGTTTGTTTAAATTTATTAAATCTATCATATCCATCTCATCCAGCTTATCTAATAATATTTACTCTTCCTCCAGCTGTGCCCTCTTCATTTTAGTGGTGTCAGAAGCTTTGCAAGCCGAAGATGGCCATGCCGACCTGTCTGGTCTTAGCAATGTCAGCCAGAAGGTGACAGTTATTGAAAAAGATGTAATCCCTGAAACCATTGCCGATGACACCAAAAATGAACCAAATACCAAAGACAAAAACCAACCTGAAGAGCATAAGGTGATATTTGCTGAATCACTGTCAGTGAACTCGGTGACAACTGATGGGTGAGTCTATATTATAATATTGTAATAACAGTGAAAGTGAAAGTAAATTTGTTTTCAGTTCTAGTTTATAGTTTTATTAGTTTATAATACACTCTCTTAGTGTTTGAATTAACTTTTTAACAATCAATACAATTGTTTATTTTTATTACATGTCAACACTACAAATGAACGGTTTTAGTTTCTCTTTGTGTCTTAAATTATTAGTTATACCTGAGTAATGAACACATGAGATAACAGTTAACAATTTTAGCACAGTTAATTTCCAAATAGTTTAATAATAATTTACAATGAACAATTTTAAGTCCAATGATAATTCTCTTGATAAATGATAATTGTATTTAAATAATTTTAAACACAATATTACTGGTCAACATGTTTCTTGTAATATTAATGATATATTGTTGAAGACATTGGTCTTCTCATCAACAGCTACCAACAAACTATACTAACATGAGTATCAATTACATTACCTAACTTGTTGTATTCATCTTCTTGTACAACTTCATCATCATCTACAGGCACAATTCACCAGTGCTGAACATTGGCATCCAATGTTCAGCACAAGACCACAAACCAAAATTACAACTTCATAATTATAAAAACAATAAGTGTATCTCTAATTTGAAATTTATTACATTTTATATCATTATTTAGGTATTTAGGAACTTAGTAGTTTAATTTTGGATAAATACAAACTCAGTTAAATAACTGTTGACAGTAAGGTTAACCACTTAAATTTATAATGTATAAAATTATTAAAATAGTATTTATGTTATGTATATTTAACTATTGCCTGATTTCTAATTGATATTTTATTACTATACCAGCTTGGCCATGGTATTCTGTATACAATTTGTTTTAAAATTGTATGGACCTCAAGGCCCGTCTGAATTTAGTTATAATATACATAAGGTTAGTTAAAAATTATAGTAAGTTGGGGCTATTTTACTTTTTTATTTATTTATAAGTTTCTTCTTTTAATCATGTATATGATATAATTAAACATATGAGTGATTTGATTACGTTTGATTGATTATTCTTTTTTAATACTTGAAAATTATCAATGAGCATATTTTACACTAAGTTCTATAAAATATTTAAAAAGTAGAAGTTACAAAAAATATAATAGGCTTACTATATTATCTTACCATGTAGTGGTGGTGTAAGAATATCCACTACCCCATATTATCCTGTGGGTGCCGTTAGAGACGACAAAGGGAAACAAATCAGATGGATGGCAAACTGCAGTTGCTTACCTGCTTGCAAAACGTGGCGTGGTAACTTCTAGTTTTTAAATATTTTATAGAACTTAGTGTAAATTATGCTCATTGATAATGGCTATGACAAATATCCCCCCTATGAGGCAATCTATGGGAGAGGCCTATGTTCAGTGGATTTTAATAGGCTGTAATGGCTATGGTACTATAGTATTATCAGTCTAATTAAAGCAAATCTTTCATTTCGGTACCAGAGATGCTCCTAACCTCCATACTTATGACTTTTCTTATGAGTTCTCATGGTAGGCTTTTATAATACCCCCAAGGCTAGGAAGTGTAATGTGTTCTTTTAAGCTGCTACAACACGGTACCTTTTGAGTCTGATTGGTATAAAATCATTTAGTCATTCATTACAGCATATTAAGTCTACTTCTGAATAATGGGTGCCAAGGAAATCTATTGGGGAAGCCTATCCTCCATAGATTGCGTCATAGTTTATTTATATTTTGTTGGCAACTGGAGTTTTTTATTATTATAGCCTTTTTGAGGAAGATGCTGCTGCCTCTTACGACACTCACAAGATGATATGGGGTAGTGAATTATCTTACGGTGCCACTACACGGCGGTTTTGAATTATCAGAATCTTTGTTCATGAATTTGCCTGTCCCTACATGGCGGTGCTAATTACTCATTATGCTGTTTGCTCGCGGAGGAAACCTCGAATCAAAAATCCCAACATTGACACGTACTAATCTACTATCAGTCACTGTCCGTTACACTTGGAAGCGTGACAGCGAGTGACGTCCCGTTCCGTTATCCATGGCGCCACTACGTCACGGCATAGTTTACGTGGGCGTGAATGCTAGCATTTCAACGCGTTCCAAATATTACAGTAGATAAATGCGGATAAACTATTTACCCGCACATTTATTTACTATGGTATTTTAAGAATAGTAGTGAGAGGAAAGTACTTATTTTTGAGTACGTTCGAAATTAATTCCGATCCTTTTAAAAGAAACTAAAGCGAAAATTCAATGAGATTCCTAAATAATCACTTTCACACGTTTGAATCTCAATAAAAAAATATCATTCGGATGATGACGAAGGTCGTGTAGATATGGTATATTTTTTATCATTATTAAAAATGTTATGAATATGTATAAATTGAATTATAAACCCGATTAAATGTGAGCGGGTAGCGAGACCTTGACAATTCCGCAACCAAATTCTCGGCTTCGCGTTCGAAGTGTGCAAAATTAAGAACATTCGAAAGTTTGAAGAATCCACGGAATTCTGTTTTTATTTCTTATTTTAAGTGCTGATGCCACTTAGTGGTGAAAGAAAACATTGGGAGGTAAACCTGCACATGCAGGTTTACCTCCCAATGTTTCGAAATAACAATAAGAGAACATGTAAAGTCCGCCAACACTTACACTTTTATATGTGGTTTATATAGAGCCACGCCGCAGTTTTTTTATTTTATGGTTGTAGCACGAATGGATCGGCTCGATCGAGGTAGGATCACGTTCTCACAGAATTTTTTTTTTTTTTTAGAATAGAGCTACGGAATAGTCGGTCCAGCGATTTCGAAGTTAGCTCGGAAAAATGGCGAGCTGTATGACACAAATAACAGTAATTTAAAAAAAAAACACAAAGACGCCTTCATTGATTGACAAATTAATTGAGTTAGGATTCGAAATAACAACCCAAGAGTAATTGAAAAGAAAATTTAAAAATATAAAAGATAATTCTCGTGTAGTATGTGATAGGTAGGCAGCGAATTGTCGTAAGATTTATAAATTTGTAGATGTACTTTAAAGCCTTCGCTTCTTATTTCTTTATTGGAATAGTCCTTGTGCTCTTTCCTCCAAAGATAAGGCATATCTCTGTAGATGTTGATGACATTGAGAAGGGCATCTTTTTCTTTAGCGCACGACATAGTTACGAGTTACGAATGATTTACTCGAGTAGATCGTCGCACCAGAATTTTAAATAATAAACAGACGTGTAGACTTTGCGCTTGTGGCCATCTCTAGTCTCTACACGATTTACAGCGCGGCAGAGAAGCAGGGCGGTCGGAACCACTCGGTCGCCCTGTTTAGGGACCCTGACTCCCTGTTTCTTAGTACACTACCCTGTCCCTGCGGGCAGGGCCCGAGAAATCATGTAATCTTTTTTTTATAGAATATGGGTGACAAACGAGCACATAGTCCACCTGATGTTAAGTGGTTGCAGATGCGTTGTCAGCCGTGAGGACTAAGATAGTATGCCTCTTTTCCAGTAAATTGTAAAAATTTAAAATTTTGAATTTAAATTTTTTTAAGAATCCAATATTTTAACTGATTTTAATGGAAACCACGTGACCACAATAAACGCAAAATTCAGATGAATCTAAACGTGCAAAGTGAAGCATTATCCACTGCGTCTATTTTGATTTCATCGTATTTCTCGCATAGTAACAACCATCGCATTTTTTGGCAACTAATTGGGTAAATGCTAAATATAACTCTTGCTTCTTACTCCATTACAGACTATAAGTCTACTGCTCAACATAGGACTCTCTCATGGACTGCCTCGTAGGGAGGATTTTGTCATAGTTGCCTCGCTTGGCATGCAGGTTGGCAACCGCAGTTCTTTAATATTTTGAGTTCTTATCAGAAAGATGGTGCTGCTGCCTATCTCCTA